GGTAAGTAAAACCAAAAGCTTCTTCATAATTTAATGCTTCACTACCAAAACTTTTAACAATATTTTCAGGAGTGAATTCATCACTGAAAACAACTCTTCCAATTTCAATTCCATTCTTTTCTGGATAACTTACTCAACCATTGTTAGGTCACAATGTTGTATCATTGAGGGATGCAAGTCAGATTAGCCTTGTGAAATGTGAGGAATGTGTGAGAATGACTGTAAAGTGTTCAAGGTAGCATGTGTGCTTCAATGTCTGTAAATTTCCAATAATCAAACATCACATATCAAAATGTTTCTTTTTTAATGGTGTGCTGTCTTGACTTCTAATTTAATATTGTAATTATAATAATATTAATATTAATATTAATATTATTATTAATAATGATTAAAAAAAGCAAAATACCAATTGTTCATTTATCATCATCAAGAATCTTATAATTACCCAGCAAGATCTGCTCACGTTTTGATTTCAATTATAATATTTATAATAACCAAAAAAGACAATACAAATAAAAAAAAGTAAAAATATATGTACAAATAAAAATACCTCTGGTTAGATATTAACACGTCTTCAGAGGAAACAACATTCACATTTCCAAAAAAATAAAAAAATTTCAATCGTGCCAACAACAATAACAATCTTTGTACAACTATATACAATTATTATAATTAGTCATCGATCAAAATATATATTAATATAACGAGTCACATGAAAAGGACAGGAGACAGGGAACCAGCTGCTTATAACTGTCTCCTGTCCTTTTCTAGTGTCCCCAAAATAACGAATTTTTTCTCTTGATTTTTTTAATAGAAAAATGCCACCAAAAGATCAAGCAAAAGTGAAAAAAAGACAAAAAGATACAGGTCATGAAGTAGGTCAGCTTGGGTAAGTGTTTAAAAAAAGAATGATAGTGGTTATTATTGCCACAACTTGTCATTCATATGGTTGACAATTGATCTTTTTTGTATTTACTTTTTAGTAATCTGAAGCATCATTCATCACAAGGAGGAAAAGAAAATGTTCAATCTCGAAGAATTTACTATGATGGTGATGATGACAAACATAAAAATAAAAATATTCTTTTAAAATATTGGACATACATGGCTAGAAAAAAAGAAAGTCCACATCTCTTCACGTATTTATTGTTTGCTGCAAAAAGTTCATTAATTAAATTAAATAATGATTTTGAGAAAGCAAAAGCTTTTTTAGTTGAACTTTATAAGACCAAAGAAATAAGTATTTTATATTATTTAATTATACAGAGTTGTTTATCATTATTGAAAATTGGAGTAAGTCTCATCTCTTTTGTTGATTATATAGGGCACTAATAAATACAATGAAGAATCAAATGATCCTAATGTACTAGAATTTTGGGATTTAGTTAAAATCACAATAAGTAATTATTCATACATTGAGTATTCAATGTTTGTAGACAAACAATCTAAACAATTTGGGATTAAAACAATAAACGTGGATAATTTATTGAAAAAAAATAGAGCCTTACGTAGTTTATCAATGGTAAATTTTCATTTTGTTTATTTGTTTTATATTGATATATATACAGTATATTAATTAAATATTTAATAATTATTACAGCTACAATATAAGGAGGATGTTAATCTAGTAACACAAATAATTGCAGGAAATATCACAAATACAAAGCTAATAAAAAATGATCCACTTTTGTCAGAGATTATTGATGTAATATTTTTACAGAGTAATATCGTTAGTGAATTAAACATGGGAAATGTTTTTGATGATGTAAATCAAGGCTTATCTATTGATGATCTTCCAGATGGATTAGAGGAGTTCAACAGAGAATACATGAATAGGGTTTTTATTCATGAATATCATGAATATCATTAAGGTGGTTACACACTATTAAAACAGAAAAAAATCCCTTAAAAACATGAGTTGATCACTTGATTTTAATAGTGTGTGACCATGTGTGATCCCCTTATGATATTCATGAATACAAACCCTATACATGAATAAGAATGAACACTATAACATACCTGAAAAATATTTTGAATCGGAATTTTTTGATTTGTTTATTGCATGCAGGAATTTTGTATCTCATTTCATAGGAATAAAAAAAATAAGAATGTACTCTAGAAATGAAGAAATACTAGAATCCACATGGTCTCATGATGGAATAAATCCAATCACTCGGCTAATATTTTATGATATTTATGATTTGACTTATCAATGGCAAGTCTTTAAATATTGTTATTCTCTATTTATTTTATATGATCTCTTATTGTTATTCATAAATTTTCATAGGGACAATAACATGAGTGAGTCTACAAGAGAAAGAAACGATGATACAAATGGCCCATGGAAAAAGCCTGACCTACATGGTTACATATTTGGAAAATTTTTAAATTGGGAAATATGTTATGGTGAAATCAGTAATGGTCCAAGAAAAAGAAACACAAGCTGTACTGATCATATAAAAAATGATCACAATAAATTACTAAAGTTTGCTAAAGATGGCTGGGATAAGATGATAAATTCATTCAAGAATAAACCCACTGATATTAGTAACTTTTTTAATATTGAAACAATATTGATCCATTGTCATGGTAAGCTATTTAAATTTTAAATTTTTTAATTTTATAATGCTTATAATAGATTTTTTCTACTCTTTAGGAACCATTGTTGAAATTTTCATTGTGGATAGGAAATATTATAGTGATGTTAGCCGGCTAATAATCTGCATACATGATTTCTAAATTTGGTAATAGGTTTCCATATTACCTTCTGGCTATAGAAATAGAATTACCAATTTAGGTAGTAAACGGCTTAGCCGGCTAAGGATTTTTAAACGGCTAACATCACTAAAATATTATCCCTTACATAGAGCTCGTAGACTATGTTGTATATATATACCATTGGATGATAACAATGAATCATTTACAGAGACAATTATTTCACTAATCCGCATCATATATTCAGTAAATCAAAGATTGAAAAAATCACTAAATATCATAAATGAGATAGAACAAACATCATTTTGGGAATTACACAACATTGAAAAGAATGATTTAGTTACAATTCTTACTTATGATAGTGATTGAATTACCTTTCTCATATAGTATTTGCTTAATAACAAATTAATATTATTTTTTAACATATATGTTGTTTATAATGAAATTCATAAATTTTCTTATTTTGAGGATTTTCAAAAATATATATATCTAGTAAAATTTGATTGGTTGGAATTGGGTGTGATCTTGACTTTGGATTTTTAGATGATCTATAAATAAAAACAAAAATACTATTAATCTATACTATTTTTAATTTAACAACAATTTGATTTGATTAATTCCAAGTGCATGTTCTCATATATGTACAGTAATTATGTATTTAACTCATAATCTATATAAAATAAAATAAAATTAATCAAAAAAAACGAAATTGATTACAACAAAAAAAATTTGTTTTATTTTATCTGTTTATTTCAATTTTAAATCTATGTACATATCTGTTTATCTACTACTAATTCTTTAATGTATAACAAAAAAATTAAACAGCTTCCAATTTATTTTCTAATCTATTACTAATTCTATCTATCTATACTACTAATACTGTCCACTTTAAATTTTTAAAAAACCCATATAATAACTTTTTCTTTTTATATACTTTCTGCACAAATATATATCAATACTACTGAATCTTTTATCTTCTTCTGTCACTTCTACCTTAATACCATACCACATGCCATGCATGACACATCATCTCACTGAAGAAGAACGAATAGAAGCTGATGCTGCTTGATAATGCAGAAACAGAGCAATAGAAGCAGATGAACAGCATTACCAAAGGCACTAAAAATTCCTGGGATGTGCTATTCTAATGGAAATCTGGTGTTAGCCGAACCCAACATCTCCTCTCCTGTAAAATCTCCTTTTCAGTCAGAGCAAAAAGCTCAAGATCTCTTAACTAATCAAGATCAAATGTCTTCTGATGAGCTAATGCTTGAATTAGAATTATTAGATCAGGATTTACTGGATGAAGAAATTAAAAAAGCAAGTTACTGACTTATTAACTGAATTAGAAAAAAAAAGGAAGAAGAGAAGCAAGAAGATAAAAATAAAAATGTCTATGATTTTAATGAGGAAGAACAAAAACCCTTCTCTCTCTTTGATTTGGAACAATTAGAACAGTTTTTTATTCAGCATGAGAAAATGTAACTCTTGATGGTGATAATAAACTAGTAGTTGAATATAATAATAATAATCTTGAATTACAACAGGTATTTAATTATTTAAAAAGCAATAATAAAACCTTTTATCCCAATCAGAACTTAGTCAAATAATTGCTGAGCAAAAGAAAGAACAATTACCATCAACCAACCCAACCAATTACTTACCTTACACTTTGGGAGGAACAATAATAATATTGATGATAGGGGTTTTTGCCTATCTGTTAGGAAAAAAGAAAAAAAAATTAAGGAATTAATTAACCTGAATTAGGTGGTAAATTATTTTTCTTCTAATTTTCTTTTCTTTCTAGATTCATCATGGTTTTGTGTCAATGTTCTTTTATTAGTTATTATTTTTCTTTCTTCTTGATAAATTTCATAGGTAATCCTTTCTTTTCTTAGATAAGCTTCTAGTGTTTGAGTATCATTTATTTTGAAAATATAAGGAGCAATTTTTTCACCCTGTTCCTTTTTTAAAATACTTTTAATGGTGCTGTAATTCTTGGGTTCCATGGTAGATCTGATGTAAATGAGTTTCATCTTAACTATTTTTATACAGGGATAGTTCTATATATCACTTAAAATAACAAATGGGATATTATAAAACTGTTAGTTATGATCACATTACAAATGACTAAATTTTGATCCCTGAAATCCTTAGTAATACCAATGTTCACTTTGTCTGGTTTTGTTGCAGCATGCCCCATTTAATACTGAATAAAAATCATTATTAATATAAATAATAAGTTAAATAGCATCTCTGACATTGCTTGATCTTGAGTAAGCTTGTATAAAAGTTAAAAATGCACATATTATATAATTTGGAAATTATATGACCAATTAATAAAGCTCCTGCCATGTTTTTCTTGTTTTTCTTTTCCTAAAGATTATTATTTTTTATTCAACAAAAAGATCTGCACAGAATTTAGCCAATTAGAATTTCTTTTCATGACATCGATGATTACCCCTGATTGAATTTAGCCAATCAGAATTTCTTCTAGAATTTTTCATACATAGTGATCACAATCATCATATTCATGAATATTCATTAAGGGGGTTACACTTACCGTAAAGTCTGGAAAGATAGCACCCCCTACTTTAAAACAATTGAGCATCAATATAAAAAAAATGTTACACATGTGTAAAAAGGGGATGCTATCTTTCCAAAAATTATGTGTCAATCACTTGATTTTAATAAGTGTAACCCCCTTAATGAATATTCATGAATATGATGATTGTGATCACTATTCATACAATCGATCATCACAGTATTTAGTATTTCCATCTATGGAAATATCCCTGACTGCATTATATCAATGCAAATAAAATAAAAATTACTTCTGGTTAGTTATTAACATGTCTTCAGAACCATGCCATGCCAAACATCACTCGCATTTTGTCATCTGTCAAAAAAAACAATAGATGATAATAAATAATTAGCGTACACGTTTTGTCGATCAATCAACAAATTTTTTATTCTTCTTTTTTAAATTTTAAAAATGCCAAAATATAACAAATTAAGAAAACAACAAAATAACAAAGATGAAAGAAATTCTGGCTAAGTTTTATCGTAATAATGGTGGTTATTGCCACCACTCATCACTCTAGTTGAAGTAAATAAAGAATTACGTTTACAAAAACAAATTTCTCCATTTTTTAAAATGTCACAAAACCTAAAGATGAATAAATTCACATCTCCTTACTCTAATCTTTAATTTACCTTACTTTATTCCTTATAAACGAAGTAGATGATAAAGAAAATAAACATAATACCGATGACATATATAAAACAATTCTAAAGAATTTATTAAAATCAAATATTGAAACATTGAAGCATAAAGGGTAAGTATACATATTCTATAAAAATAATTTTCTTATTTAGTTTCTTAAAAAACTTTTTTATTTTAACAGAATGTACAAGAAACAAATCATATATTTAAATGAACTTGAATTGGACTTTTTGAATCATGATGTGATAAATCAAGAGATATCTGATATTTCAACTATTTCAATATTGGAAAATGTATGTAATTGTTGATCTAGTATTCTGTTTATCAAATTAAAAATTTAACATGTATTTTTTTGACCATAGAAACAATTTGATAACTGGAAAGATATGGGCAAGGAGATATTATTTTTCAAGCTTTGTTGATACAGAATGGAGGGGTGAAAAATCAAAAGATGAAAATAATATAATAGATTACATGCATCGCATTTTGATTCACTAGTAAGTAATACTTGGATATCTGTATATTTACACAAAAAAATTAACTTGATTACTTCTATATTAGTGGTGATTACCTCAGTGAGCCATATAAAACGGACACCTTGGAGGGTGACATAGGGTCTTGTCATATAACACCATTGTCTAAAATACTAAGGAACTACTGCACAGTAGTAAGGTAATTTTGGTTCCTCCTATATTTGATACATGTATCATACTGTAGTCTTAGTGACACACATTTCTTTTCCAAGTGGCGAAAGGTTTCTCAAAGTCTACCAAATTTGCAAACAAAATGATAAACAATGATAACAAAAGAGGATCAAAAACTGATCTTGGAGGAGAATAAAGATTAGTGCCATAAATTATGATGATGGTAGTAATTGTATTTATGGCATATAAAAAGTGGTTGCAATTACCTTTGTGACCACTTTTGCAACCATCATTTTTCCTTTTTTGGATTATGGCACTGATCTTGGAGGAGAAGTATATGGATATGAGATTTTCACACTAGAAAATAGTTTTTTATCAAATGACAACACAAAAAAATTTGTTGATGACAAATTGAAGATCTCCAGATACAACTGTGATGATTTATTTACATTATGGTATGACTTTGAAGAGAGAACTAAGCACTTATATAAATTAATAGAAAATGATTTGAGATCGTTGAGAACATGGGAGCTTCAATTGTCTGGAGAGTGTAATGGTCAAAACCACTTGCACCTTAACCTCTTCAGTACAAGGCAAGTGTATCGATTTCTCTTTTTATTTTTAAATGTTGAATCTGCACCACTTCCTTGCAAGGAAGATAATCCAAGTTTTACTTCTTTAAGTAGAATCACAGAAATGATGATTAGATTAGCAGTAAGTACATTATTTGGCTATAAATATCTTATTTTTATTATTATTAACTTAGAAATCTTTCAATATAGTTTGGCATTAAATCCACTAAAAAAAATATATGAAATAATTGATAATAAAATAAATGATTTGAAAAGGAACAATCATCAGTTTCACTACATACAAAAGACCATATGTTGACAATGTTCAAAAGATAATGAAAACGCTCGCACAAAAAAACGAAAAAATTAATTCTGAATTATTATTGCAAGATGTTAAAAATATTCTTTAAATAGATAATCAAACTTCTTTGTATTATCATTCATTATTACCACTGAAATATTAAAGTTTATTGGAAATTTGACTATTATCATAGTATCTATATTTATATCTGAGTTGTTATAATTATATTAAGAAATTAGTATTCTTAGAATTTACAATAGATAGTCAAATTGATTATTTGTTTTTTTTAATATTATACAAATTTATAATGAAATTTATAAATTATTGCAATATCACCTTACTTTACATTTTCTCCTATATAAATAATACTTTCATTATTCAGTTGTCAACAAATATATAATAGATAGATCATTATTGTTTGGGTTTAGTTGTACAAATGATAAAATGTTGGTATATTTTTTATTAATGCTGTAACGAAAAATAAATCATTCTCTACGGCTGCGGATGAGACTTTTCGTTATTAGATAATATATTGGTACTAGTGTGAGTAAATAACGCACAAGGCGTCCGAATCTGTATATTTAAAATAACGCAGCATAGTGGATTCTCTAAGTTGGATATCAAGTTCAGATCCAATTCAAATCCAGTTTATCACTTCCTTTTTATTGCCAGAATGTTTGTCGTGTATTGTAAAGTTACATTGCACAATATAAAAAATTAGTGTAACATTTCAACATAATTTTCTTATACAAAACTATCAAAACAATATATCTAAAATTTTCATAAAACCAGTAAAACCGTCAACAAACCTGAAATCAGATCCTTAATTAAGAATTGAATGGAGGCGTTCCACCCAATCCGACCTTAGTATTGACTTATTGATACTGCAATACCTACCAGGTCACCAAGTTAATTCACTCGAATTTCAAAGGAGAATAATCATCATTTACAACTAAACTAAGGCGTCCCCTAAGCCAGTGTAATATGTTATATTACAATGTCACATTTTTCAAATATAACATGATTAATATAATAATTTTAATTATTTTGATTTTCGTATAAATATTTATGAATTATTTATATTTTTATTATTATTTTATATTATATTATTTATTCTTATTTTTTTTATCTCATCTTTTTACTCTTATCTTTTAAAACAACCAACATTTATCATTTCAGTTATTAATTCTGTTAGCTGTTTGACAAAAATAGAGAATCATATGATTTTCAAATTTTTAATTACAAATTTTAACAAATAGCTAGAATTTATATAAAATAATGAAAAGGACAAAAAGTACCTTTGAAAAATTAAACGATTAAAAATATAGATAGAAATTTCATTGAAAATCTGTACACCCACGAAAGGTATATAAACCCTTTCATTGGATACTTGGTTTGAGGATTTTTTAACAGTTCAGGATAACAAAGATCATGATATTATTAAACAAATCAAACACTCTTTTAAACTTAAATACCTGTTAACGAAATTACTTCTCAACCCTAATTACTCATAACGAATCATTATTAAAATAATTACTCGCAAAATTATTTCCTTTTATAATTATACACTAACATTTTCTAGGGACATCTTAGTTGTATAAATAATTAAACAAATAGACAGACAAATTTGTAATAAAATTGTTATTATAAATCCAAGACTTTTATTGGTGGTTAAGTGCTGCCATAGTAGCAAGACTTAATCGGAGAGGGTGAATGCTATCACAGAATTACTTTAAAATAAGCAACTAGGGATTATTATTTATTAAGATTTTCTGTGACCCTGTTTAAAACCGAAGGACATCAGATTTATATATTTATACATATTAATTTTATTTGTACAAAGATAGAGAATTATTTAAATTAATAAAAATATGCGTGATATAAAATAAGCCCAAAATCCATAATTTTACATGATTTAGGCAGTAAAATTGATTTTCTTCTGATTTTCTCTTCTTTCTAGGTTCACCATGGCTTTGCATTGATGCTCTTTTATTCGTTATGATTTTTCATTCTTCTTCATAGGTAATCATTTCTTTTTTTAGATAAGCTTTCAATGTCCGAGATCATTTATTTTGAAAATGTAAGGAGTGATTTTCTCACCTTGTTATTTCTTCAAAATACTTCTAATGGTGTGGTGCTATAATTCTTCTTGGGTTCCATAGTAGATCTGATGTAAATTAATTTCATATTAACTATTTTTATATAGAGGTAATTCTATATATC